TTTACTGTTATACACAATATAAATCATAGTTATATGGCTAGAGGAGTAGAATAACAATATATTTAATCCATAAAGCCAAACAGTAATATTGTAAGTTAAATTATTGCACGATATTTAGAGATGTTACCACGAAAAATCCACCCTTTTCAGGGCAGTTATTTGCAAATAAGATAAAATACTATTGATTAATCGAACATCCAACGAACTATGGTAACATTGACCTTGGTAGCGTCATCCGCCTATAGTAAAACTATCCTATGAAATATTTTGTCAAGAACTCATTTGTTGTTATACATAGAAATATAATCAATACAAAATGTAGACGTTAATGACACGTTGAGACACCCTACGACGAGCTCATCATCCTACTGAAATATCCACCTAGTAACACCCTCCGCCTATGTAAACACCAACCTTAGTAACACCGCCCGCCTTTGTAAAACGTATTTAATGTTTCCCTTATTAAGCAAAACTGTAATTGTGATAAAATACTTTTCAGTACTGATAATTGTAAACACTAAGTTACGCATATTGGATTAAATTACTAATTTTAAGACTTTAATTCCTACTATAAAGTCGAGACATGTTGATATACATCACCTTCTGGTGGTTCGCTCGCGAACTATTTGTGCGTTCATCACACCAACGCGCCTCTGGTGCCACTTCGTGGCCCTAGCAACGCGCCCTCTGGTGTATATTACATAACTGTTATGCAACTATTAGGTGTATATATTACGTAATAGTTATGTAGCTCCCAGGTGTATATATTACGTAATAGTTATGTAACTCCCAGGCAACATCCATTGTTTATTACATAATATTTGTGTAACCATAGGCAAGGCATCTTTTTGCCGTTGAACAGACCCCTTAACTACTACTGTTTCTCACATTTAAAAACACGCAAGTGTCTATTATAGAACATCTATCATTAACTTAGCTGGGCTGATAACAGTTGATATTGCTCGAAAAGAAAAACCCAGCAACAACAAAAACAATCTTTTGGTATGAAAGAATAGACAAACTTTTTAAGCTGTTTCTCATATTTAGTAACATATAAATGTATATCATAGAACATCTATCACCAATTTAGCTGGGCTGATAAGAGTTGATATTGTAAATGTTTGTCATAGAACATTTATCCCCAATTTAGCTGGGCTGATAAGAATTGATATTGTAAATGTTTGTCATAGAACATTTATCACCAATTTAGCTGGTCTGATAAGAGTTGATATTGTAAATGTTTGTCATAGAACATTTATCACCAATTTAGCTGGTCTGATAAGAGTTGATATTGTAAATGTTTGTCATAGAACATTTATCACCAATTTAGCTGGGCTGATAAGAGTTGATATTGTAAATGTTTGTCATAGAACATTTATCACCAATCTAGCTGGGCTGATAAGAATTGATATTGTAAATGTTTGTCATAGAACATTTATCACCAATTTAGCTGGGCTGATACGAGTTGAAATTGCTCTAAACTGTGATTCTTACTTGGTTATTGAAATGGAATTTTTGTAAGGGTCTACATTCTTCTTACTGGAAACCCGTACAGTACAAGTGAAAAAATATGTGATTATAATTATTATAAATTTTATTGTGATCTTGTTACACAAATTATCGATCAAAATATGAGGTTTTGTCAGTTTAGTTGTTTTTTAAAACCATTATTTGACAAAAATCTGCATGTGTCAGCTGATAACTGGTGAACTGCTAGGCCGTTTGTTTCCATACCTGGCATGTGTCCTTATGACTCCCAGTGGAGTGTCAGCATTTGGATTTGACTCCACTATGTCACCTCTGGGAGCCCCCTATGTCTTTCACGTTTGTTGAACGTGTACATCAACTACTACACCATACGAGTCAAATAGGTTTTATGTCAAACAAGCTTTTAAATGATATAGAAAGTCAAGTAATTTACATTTCTTAAATAGAATATTCTTAAATATTGTAAAGAAGTATTTTCTAGTTTTTTAAGTTCACGTTATCCCGCTTCAATTTGAAGCTGTTGTTAGGGTTTCCTTGAAATGATATAGAAGAGCATTTGACGTCATAATAATAATAACATTATATGGCCGGATTTGCATATCCTTCCTGGTAGGGAAAATGATATAGTTCTTAATGTTTAAAATACTAATACTATCTCTCTCTCTAGTCCTGATAGTTTATTAAACTAAGAAAGAAGGCTCGCCATAAGAGTCATCTTCTAATAAATAAACATCATGTTGAAATTTAAAGTTAAAGATATCAATGATGTTTAAAGTTAAAAAACTATATATATTTTTACTAACTTGAACTTCAAAAGTAACCAAATGCAGTAAACCACTATGAATGTCAGAAATAACCACATGCGATGAACTAACGTGAATGCCAAAAAATAATCACATGCAGTGAACTAACATGCACGTCAAAAAATAACCGCATGCAGTGCACCACCATGAATGTCAGAAGTAACCATATGTAGTGCACCACTATGAATGCCAGAAGTAACCACATGCAATGAACTATCATAAATGTCAGAAAGTAGTCACATGCAGTGAATTAACATGAACGTCAAAAATAACCACATGCAATGCACCACCAGACAAATGTCAGAAAAAACATATGTAGTGAATTAACATGAATGTAAGAAAAAACCCATGCAGTGAATCATCATGAACGTCAGAAGTAGTCTCATCCAGTGATCTAACACTTAGAATGTGAAGTTATCTTTTAACAAGCATGCATATTTTGCACTGTCGAGATAATGAAGTCCAGTGCACTATTCACAAGTGCCTTTAACCAGGAGTGATTTTGTTTCACAACTTATGATCTAGAATAATTCAGCTGCATTGACGGCTATCACTATGAATATTTTCTTATGATTATTAATAAATGACGCTCCCCAGTGTCACAGCAGTCTGTAGGTTTATAAGACTAAAATCGGGGGCTCAATACCCGTGTTGGGCGGAGCACAAATAGCTCATTATGTAGCTTTGTGCTTAACAACAAACACATAGGTGGTATTTTTGTAAACATAAAAACAAAATATGCGTAGGAAGTTGTAATAATATTTTTCTGCTATTAATAGTATGTCAGATGATAAAAATAGTGTTCCTTATGAAGCTTTCAAGACTATAGTTGGTTTATTCCCTTGATGTGAAATTGCCACGTATGGAAATAATAATTACAAACCGGTATTAAAGAATTGAGTACGTTATTTAAAAACGATTTTGAATATGCAAATGATTAATTCACGTGACAACTACAGACGATATAAAGTTGCAGTGAAACGGAAAGTACCAGAACTACATTTTGGCATTGTTTGGAGTTTCACAAGTACCGAAAATTGAGCGCTTTTGGGAAGGGTATGTAAAGCCTTTCCGATGCAAAGTATTCATACACTCAGATCATAAAGATTTAGAATTTCCAAGACGGGGATCATCTTTGGGTACTAGTATCATCCAGAAAGAGGCCTGCAATAAGTCGTATCCCAGACATTATAAGAACAGTGTGGCTCCTGTAACAGATGAAAATGCACGAATATAAAAGGCAGTGAAAAGAGCCATCCACGTGTCTCAGGTAACAGGACGCAACATAACGAAGAAGGATTTTCATCTGGAAACGAGGCCAACACGACACTAATTCACAAAGATAAGCCTTCCAGTGATATTTTCACATTTCAACCAGCTGGAGGATGAAACGAAGGCATACAGTGAATTATATTAATTTCTGTGCAACTGGACTAATGAAACGTAAGCTGCAAAACCATATAGTAGATGGAATATAGAAAGAATTTTGAAGAAATAGTGTGATTTGGATATTGCAGGCTTACCACGGAGCGTTTTGTCAATGGAAAATACGCTGTTTGTTTGTTGTTATCAGATAGAGCATGACTGAACGTGGTGACATGGACTGTAACGACAAGGTTTTGATATGACGCACTTAGCCTTTTGTATAATATATGTAAGATACTGCTCTTATAATATAAGATAAGAATAAGTTGCATTTGTGTTATTTAGTTCTTTTTACAAAAATGAACACTTAAATACAAAAGCAGTTACATAAAAAATGCAAAAAACGAAACAACTAATTGGAATAAACGAACAATTTAACATTTAATTGTTTCAATATATTCTGTACATGTAGGGTGTTAACAGTCTCTAACTTCAGAAGATAAATGAACCTAATAATTTTTAAAGTTAATCACAAAGGAAATTTAAGTATTTGAAACATGATTTATCTTATGTTTGAAAGTTAATTTGGCATTTACGTTCCACCATAAGAACAAGTATAACACAGTTGTTGTAAATTGTACTTTGGGAGGTCATTACAGTTAGTTTGTATTATAATAATTATTATTCTTTTACACATTAACTAGGCAGATTTCAATTAAATAGCAAGCAGCACGTAATAACATATTTATTGTTAAATGGTCCCTTTAACATCACTCATACTTTCATTGAAGACTATAACATATATATCAGGAAGGGCATTCAAAAGACACAACAACATTACTTTTCTACAAATGAGTGCATCTAGACGGAAAATGATTCTTTTGTCAATGCATTCAGCCCTCGTTTCAATCCAGTCATTCATTCACGAATTCTTTATTTGAACTCACTCGTATATGTAACGTGTAATAAACTATAGACAACTCACAAAACAGAGTCGTGTCAGAGTAAGAGCTTATTTATCAAAGGAAATGAAAATATTTAGACATTAAAAAAAAAGTAAAGGCAAAACTAACGGAGTCACTGAACTGAGGCAAAACTAAAACATTTACTATTGGTTAGTTTACGGCAAGAGTAGTTACTTACCTTTTTGTCATTTTGATTAAAATATAATATTTTACGTTTTCTTTCTTTGTTCATATTTTTGTAGACAAGTTTTACGCATGTTAAGTGAAGAATGGGATAAAGTTGCCACAATGCATCCAGATCAGGATTTTTTATTTAAAGTAATGTTTCTCAATATATTTTACACTTGATGGTACATAATGAAATTCACGTACAACTCTCTTAACAAGAGACATTATTATGTTTTAATTCTCCTACGAATACAAAGCTACAACAATGAAAATAGGGGTTCGTTTAAACAGAACTTGTGACTTCTTCAATAATTGAGATTGGTTTACTTGGGCCACGTGGGATGCTCGTATCATCACAATGGTTATGCTTCATGATGTCATAAAGTGCAGGATGAGTGCAAGTTTTTCTTTTAGAGTTGTGCTTATCAGATGTGGAAACGTTTTCATTCATGTTATTCTCAAACTCACTAATCATCAAGAACTTCTCTTCTTTATTGCAAGAGGTGATACACTCAGCACCACACCACTCGTCCAAAAGATTATTTTCTCCTAAATCTATCAGGCCTTCTTCGGAGATGCATGTCAACTGCTCTGGACGTTTCTCATCATCAGCCACATCTACTGACGTCGCAAAGGAAATGGTTCTCTGACACCCATCTAATGGTGGCGCCCTCATGCGGCTTACATTATTCCCACAAGTACAGATATCACTGTTACGTATGGTGAAACACCGTTCAAGTTCACAGCGGTTTTGGTCATCTACGCTGTTGGCTATTGCTTGACGGGATTTCTTAGTGACATTCCTACGAAGGTTCATGAGAAAAAGGGAAAGAGTTCCAGCCAAAATACACCCGCATGAAAACAAGAAACCCATCTTTGGTCCCCTGCTTCTATTGATGTAAGCTTCAGGAAGAGAAGAAGAGTAGACTTATTCAGAGAGAAATTTTTGGAAAAAAATACATTATTACTTTAGGGTGAGCTAAAAAGGACTTAAAACTGCATTAATATTTTATACAAATCACCATTATAAGAGGTCTTATTCTACTTCTTTGGTTTGCTGACCCAAGCTCTGCTGATGAGTCTTGAATAGGCGAAACTGCAATCCACAGCAGTAGTGAGGCGAATCAAAGAATGCATTAGGCCTCTACGTCACAGATTATATTTTCAATTTTCACCTTTGGTGAAAAGAGAAGAAATCTGTAATATAATTATTACTTTCATTTGTAAACTTTTTGCAAATAATTTTCAGATTTGTTTATAAAAAACCCAAACAGCTCCTGTCATAGTACATTAAGAAACTAAAAAACGAAGTTTTCTTCGATTTTTCTGGACAAATATTCAAACAATACTAATTTTGTGTTCAATATCATGTAGATCAAGTCCTTGATTATTACAAAACAACGAATATACGCATCTTTTTTGAAAATAGCATTTTTTTATCCTCCAATGATCGTGCTCGGCGAGAAAACAATATATGTGTCAGAAAGAGTCGCTAACGAAACAGATCTTTTATTTTCAAATAAACTATGCTTTTAACAAAAAAATAAAAATACCGATAGAAAACGAAGACTATACACAGAAAAGGAATTATTTTGGAATGACTAAGAATGGTGATGATAAAACAATGAAACTTACTGAATCCAGAACTGCAAGTTTGATAAAAACCTTCATGTTAGAGATTTAGATAAAAGCCAAATCTATAGACCAAATTTTGGATACGGTTAAGATAATTCTGTAATTATAAACTTATAAGTTAAAAAACAAGCATTGCAAACAATCATTTCAAGAATATATACAAACTGTTTTTAGAAGTTAACGGTTGAGTGACTTTTGGGAAATAGATAAACAAGATAAACAATAAATATATTGATTTTAAGAACCATAAGTGCAAATAAAGCATAACTATCTTACAAATAAATATTCTCTACTGTAACGAAATAAGTTGCTATATCGAAAATGTGAAAAGCATAACTATCTTACAAATAAATATTCTCTACTGTAACGAAATAAGTTGCTATATCGAAAATGTGAAAAGCATAACTATCTTACAAATAAATATTCTCTACTGTAAAAAAATAAGTTGCTATATCAAAAATGTGAAAAGCATAACTATCTTACAAATAAATATTTTCTACTGTAACGAAATAAGTTGCTATATCGAAAATGTGAAAAGCATAACTATCTTACAAATAAATATTTTCTACTGTAACGAAATAAGTTGCTATATCGAAAATGTGAAAAGCATAACTATCTTACAAATAAATATTTTCTACTGTAACGAAATAAGTTGCTATATTGAAAATGTAAAAATTGTTTGTTGGCTTCCACATCTGTTTTTTCCCTTTACGTAGTGTTGAAACATCTGCCATGTTAGGTTGTAATGAAACAAAAATCACTGCTCAAACAAAGAATAATAAGTAAACAGATTTATAAGATGTTTATTCTGATGTGATTACGTCGAATAATCCAGACAATTTGGTTATTTTGTTGAATTTCGAGCAAAGTTACAAGACACATTGATTTAAGAAATTTACACCCTTACATTTATAAATTATCCTTGTGTAAAAGATTTCTCCTTGTGGGTGTTTGATCACATGAAAGCATTTTCCTTTCCTCTAGTCAGCTGTTAGACTCAGAAAAAAAAGGTGAATTACCCAAAGACGAGTTCTTTTTGCTTTGTTGATCTCATTGGTCTGTACTCAGGAATTTACCCTAACTGTATAATGAATTTGAGAGTAATGAGGGTAAAAATGATCTAGGTGTTCACTTCATTTGACACATAACAGAAATTCAGTACGATACAAAATAAATGTATCATACATTCATTTTACGTGTAATGGGAATTTATATCAAGTCAGATTGAAAAGATCTGGATGTTCATCTTACATGGAACTCAAGTATTAAAAGTATAAAATATCCAGTGGTCATTTTAACTGTAACAGGAATTCCAAGTATTAAAAGTATAAAATATCCGGTGGTCATCTTACCTGTAACAGGAACTCAAGTATTAAAAGTATAAAATATAGAGTGATCATCTTACCTGCAACAGGAATCCAAGTAATCCAAATATATAATATACAGAAGTCATTTTACCTGTAACAGGAAGTTCAAGTATTACAAGTATGAAATATATAGTGGTTATCTTACCTGTAACAGGAATGCCAAGTAATACAGGTATAGACTGCGAACACTGGAGATAGCTCCAAGAGCGGTCAAAATTTCTCGGCCTCACCTTCTCGTACAAATACATTTTTAAGCTATAATGATATCCACCACTAAAGATTCCGTAGACGAAGACAAATAACACATATCCATTATATTCATTCACTGCACAGAAGGATAAAATGGCGATTACAGTTCCAAACATGGAAGCCTGCCACAAATACTGACGAGCTATCATACAATGTGCGCTATTTTTTAGGATGAGCATACTAAACGAAAAACACCCTAACATGTAAGCAAAACCCAGAAAAAGCTGGAGAAGTAGAACGGAACTGTCTTCCAGCCCTTCATCTTTGGTTATATGAACCTGCAAAAAAGAAGTAAAAAAATCAGTTAGTTACCACACCCAAGGCATCTTTTTTCAATCTAACAATTTTTCGTTGTCAGTGAAATCAAATCACAGGGCCGTTTTTGGGGGATAGATATCTTTCTCTTTGGATTAAACATTCTTATAATTAATAATACTAACCTTTTTTGAGAACACAAGTATAAGATTCGTCTATTTTTATTGTGTTGTTGGTATTATTTACTAATTACGAAAAGATAAGGAATCACAGTAGAAACAAAAACCTATTTATCTAAGACTCGTGACGTACTTTTAGAGATTCGAGAAGTTATTGTTCAATCAAAAATAAAATACTATACTTCAAAGAAACTCTTTACATACACATAAAGAACTGGCTAAAAGTACGTTCTCCCGGATTAGTTGTATCATCTGAAGTTAGAAACATTACATCGCGTAATATATGATTGCTTCACGAAAGTATTCTAAATACGACTTTTTCGCCAGTAATGACGATTACGCTCATATTTGAACCAATTAAGTTTTAGTTATGAATAAAATTAGATAAAATAAGTATAAAACAGTTTTCTCAACTGTTGTACGATTGTAGTTCAAGTACAAAATTGACGGTAAAAGATTAGAATGACTCTTAGGTTCCTCATCAGAACGATAATATCCCATAATTAGATAGTTCTTTCATCAGGACGATAAAATCCCATAATTACATATTCTTACACCAGGACAGTAAAATCCCATAATTAAATATTATTTCATCAGGATGATAAAATTCCATCACTAAACATTCTTTTATCAGGAAGATAAAATCACACGATTATATATTATTTTATCAAGATGATGAAATCATAAGATTAAATATACTTTCATCAGAACGATAACATCGGATGATTAAATATTCTTACATCAGGACAATAAAATCCAAAGATCAAATATTCGTTGAACTTAAGTATCGTCACGCGAACATGTTTGTACATTTATTTTGAAATTTTTTATCCTTTGATTTGAATGTAGCTTAATTTGTATTTAGTTCACTGATCTTAGCTATTCCAGCTATTTTCGCACTGGATTCAATAAATAAACAGTACTTGAAAATATTCTTTATAAATGTAGTAAATAATTTTGGTACATTGAAGTAATTCATACTTCTTTCACCTGTAAAATGTTAAGAGTGCCATTATTTTCCTTCTTCCATATCTGAGTTTTTAAGCCAACTGTTTAAAAATAAATTCTCTAAGAACATTAATGAATCTTATATTTCCGCGAAAAAGTTAGTCCTTTCTTTGACATGAAACAAATACTTCATTTATTAAGCACTTCCTGAGCTATCTTACAAAACTCATGCAAACTCTAAGTTAAATGTAATACAAGAATGTTGTTGACTCATATCCAGATATCAGTAAGATCCTAAAAGTAGGTTGGGAAGGGGTTCTTTGTTTTTGTCCTGTGTTGTCCTGCTATACAAAGGTTGAGCACGTTATATTAAAACGATTTTGGAGTTTTATCACATCATTATAGTCCATGTCGTCAAGTCTATTCATGATTTATCTAACGATTGTACGTCTTGAGAATAGCCCTGCAGCTAAAAAGCAAAACGTTCTATTGTAAGGCTGTTCAAAGCACATAACTCATCCCTACATCTTTTCCATAATCCATCTAGTGTACGAAGACGATATTTTCTTAGCCTCCGTTTCAGCAGTCCATCACACAAAATTTCATAAGCATTATGTCCGGCGACTTAACTTGTATGTCTACATATGGATTAGCATGACGGGAGATATGACTGGAAGCCTTATCTCGATAAACCAACCACATGTTGGCCTCACTTCTAGATCATTTTTTATTATGTTGCGTACTGTTGTCTAGGGCATATGGACGACTTTTGCCACTGACTTTTGTGTTTGAGGATTCTCACTTGTTACCATACACTTCAATTTGCTTACCCAGGCTAGGATATAACTTGTTGAAGATCTGTTTCTCGAATCTCCTGGTACGACAAGTTGATATACACTACTATATTATATAATGCAATTAAGTATAAGGGATATTCCTGTCTTGGAAAATCGAACTTCCTGACCTAGAAACATCTTTATGATCTGAGTGTATAAATATTTTGCGTCTGAATTGGCTGTTACATATTCTTCTTAAAAAAGTGATTAATTTTCTCTAGCAATATACTACTTACACAAAAACAAAAATACCAAAATGTAGTTCTGAAACATGCAGTTCCACCGCGACTTTGTATTGGCTATGATTGTTACGTGACTTGCTTATTATTCTAAATTGGTTTAATATAACGCACTCAAATTTCTATACTCTAGCTCAGAACTAGCATTTGTAGTTCATGAACAATGAAAGTTATATCAAGCAAAACTTTTTTCAGGCAAATAACACAGACCTGCGATGGTTATTTTATCTTGATATTTTTACATGCTCTACACTAATTCCTGAGGCCCGGCATGGCCAGGGGGTAGGGCGCTCGACTCGCAATCTGAGGGTCGCGGGTTCGA